TCCCCTGCAATGCGTGCGTCCCCTGCAACGCGCACATCCTTCGTAACACGCATGTCCCTGCAACGCGCATGTCCCTGCAACGCGCATGTCCCCCTGCAGCGCGTGCATCTCTGCAACGTGCACATCCCTGCAGCGCTCGTGTGCCCCACACCGCATGCGGCCCTGCAACGCGGTGCAGCCCTGCAACACGTGTGCCCGCCGGCTCGCCCAAGGCGGCGGCCCCACTCGTGCCGCCTGCTTCTCTCGTCGCTGGTTTGTTCCTGGGGCTTCTCAGTAAGCAGCGGGGTAAAGCGCTTGCGGAAAGGCCGGGCGCGGGGGGCAGGCCGGGCTGAGCGCAGCGGGACGGGGCCGCCGGGCGGATCGCAGCCCCCTGACCCGCTGGGTGCTGCTCGCCGCCCGCTGCAGCAGCGCCTGCTCCAGAGCTGCTGCAAATGCCCAGGACCGACTTGAGGAGCGGTGGAAGAAGGAAAGATGCAGCTTTAAACTGCAGCTCTGCAGCCTGGCTGTGCAGGGAGGATTAAATGGGGCCGAGAAGTTTTTCCCTGGGTTTGTTTCCTTTGAGTCTTTTAGAAATATTTGCCTGTTTTTGTTCAGTTTTAATTACAGCCTACAGTCGCTCGCCTGCTTCCCTGTCTTTTATTTTCCCTCTTTCCCCTCTGTGAGATTCTCAAACTTCTTAAATCACAGGAAGCAAAGGGAGATGGTCCAAGCTGCCGTTAAAAGGGCGTTGTAGCAAAAATTAGCTTTTCACGAGTCATCTGGAGTAGACCTACCGAAGAGGGGCCATATCACTGGTTTCATATGGGGGTTTAATCCTTTTAAATTGTGCCATCGTATCCAAGTCTAAACGAGAGCTAATCGAAGGGAACTCCCTGAATTAGGCTCTCTTCCTTTTTATGGAAACTCAGGCAGCCCCTTTGCTGCCCCTCTGCAGGGAGCGCGTCCGTGCGGGGCACGGCTGGCGGCGCGCGTGCCGGGCCGGACGGCGCTTCCAACCGGGGCTCATCGGAGAGCAGGAAGGCCATGGAGGCCTGGCAGGGGCTCGGGGCCGGGAGGCTCCCGCCGGCTCCCGTGTCCCTGCTGCAACGCGGCGGCCTGTGCGGCAGTGCGGGGCCG